AGACAGTGTGGTCATTAGGGAAAGACCTCACAGGAGGCAAGGAAGCGATCCATGCAGTTAGCAGGCCCAGGCAACAGCAGGTGCCCAGGCCTTGAGGTGGCAGCACAGCAAGGTTCAGGGAGTAGAAAAGAGGCCAGTGTGGCCGCAGCCAAGTAAGAAAAAAGAATAGGAGGGCCAGGTCGTACAGGGCTTTCTTCGCAGGACAAGGTAAGAACTCTGGCTTTTACTCATAGATGAGAAGCAACTGGGGGCTCTGAACAGAGAAAGGACACCATCTCACTGGCTGCTACGCTGAGTCCAGATTGAAGGGGACAAAAGAGGAAGCAAGAGATCAGTTAGGAGACTCTGAAGATAATCTAGGCAAGACCTGATGGTGCTCTGGACTCAGCTGGTCATGGTGAAAAGGAGTAGTAATTGAATTCTGGATACAGTATGAGGAAAGAGACACAGATTGAAGGTCGGGTCAGAGAGAAAGGGGATAAATCCAAGATTTTGGTAGGGCAACTGGAAGACTAGAATTGCCATTTAATAGAACGGGGAAGGCTCCAGAGGAGCAGCCCTTCAAATTGAATTCATCCACTGAACACTTATGAGCACCTTCTGTGTACCAGGTACCGTGTGAATATACTGGGGGTGCAGAGATAACAAGAATATAATCTCTGCCTTTAAGGAGCTCACTGTCTAATAAAAGAAAAAGAAAAATATGCAGACTACTGTTATATAGGACAGTAAGCACGAACATAGGTATGCACCATGCTGGAGCAGAGGAAGGGCACCTAACCCAGAATGAAAGCTGGGGTGGTGGGTATGGGAAACAGGGAAGGCTTCCTGAAGGTTGCTTGAGGGAGAACAAAATGATGAATAGGAGTTAATCAAATGAAAATAGCAGGAAGACCGTTTCAGACTGACAATAGTGGCTGTGGAGGCACGGAGCCACTAATGGCTTGGTACATTCAAGGAATCACAAACGGTTTGGCACAGGGGGATGGGACCAGTAAAGATAAAGCAAGAGACATCAGCAGTATCACAATGGATCTTGTATGCCATGCTCCACCCTGTATTGTGCGGGCCTTGAATGCCAAAGGTGCCATGACTCTATCTCACATGCAAGGGGCAGACACTGAAGGCTTTCAAGCAAGAGTAACACAATCAGATTTCAGTTTTAGAACAGCAGTTTTCAAACATTTCTCTGACAAAACATGCAATAGATAATGGTCCCAAGTTCAACACAGACTTGTGGGCTCTCCCTGCATGTCAGCTATAATTCCACCCTTTCCTCACACACTTAAGAAAACATTTCAGAATGCGAGTGAATGAGAATGGTATTACAATGGGATCTCTTTTAACCAGCGCCACATAATGGACTCACCGGGTAGACTTGTGTTCTTCTTTCTCTTTATAATACACACTGGCTGATGCCCACAGCGCCTGGAGTACTTGTGCCCAGTGGCTCCACTCTAGATGCCTATGCTCTTCTACTCTCACCCCACTGAGCTTTATGCTTAAGAGTGAACTGTGTCTGTTCTCAAACCCACTTATGCAGTATTATCTGTTACTGTGGGCAAAGCATTATAGGTATGGGTTATTAAGAACAAAGCACAGAATTCCTACCAGTGAACCCATATGCCAAGGAAAAGCCTTGGCCATACATCAAAAAAACTGGAAGAATACACTGAGAGTGGGGGAACCCCCAAATCTACTGCCTGAAAACAACTTTTAAGCCTTGAACTGAAATTATCCCACGAAGTCATCTTTAAACTAATAATTTAGCTCATTTAATAAAGAATGTTTGCCTTGAACATTGTGATCTTATTTTTTTTCCCCCACATCCTAGGTTCTTTTATTTTTTATTAAATTTTTAAAATTTTTTCCCATACAAAAAATTTATACATACATTGTTATGTGAATCTAATTGCTCTCCCCATACTGTGACAGCACACTCCTCCTTTCCACCCGATTCCCCATGTCCATTCAACCAGCTACTAACGCTCTCTGCCTTCCCATCTCACCTCCAGACAGAAGCTGCCCATTTAGTCTCTTGTACTACTTGAGCTAAGAGGCACACTCCTCACAAGTATCACTTTATGTCCCACAGTCTAGTCCAATCCCTGTCTGAAGAGCTGGCCTCGGAAACTATTTTAGTTCTGGGCTGATAGAGAATCCAGGGGCCATGCTCTCCGAGGTTCCTACAGTCTCAGTCAGACCAGAATATTGTGATCTTTCAAACAAATATTTATATGAGATTAAACAGACAACAGTAACTCTAAAACACACATAAGAACTTTAAGGGGCAGAGAGTCTCAGTTAAGGGTAGTGAAACAATATGGGCAGAGATAGGGAGAATAGTAACACAATGTTAAGTATGTAACCACTGCCAGTGATCTCTATATGTAAAAATTGTTGAATGCGTGTATGTTTTGTTGTGTATATTTTCACCAAAAAAAAGGAAAAGTATATATTCATATATCGTAAATTAAAATACTTAAGGTAAGCAGGCTAGTTATATTCTCTGCTCTAACTGACTTTTAAGACTAACTGTACTACTACTATACCAGTCCCAGCTGTGTTAGATATAGAAAAATCTACTAAATTATGAATTGCAATAAGAGAAAGGAAATAAGCTGAGTACAGTGAAAGTAAATAACAAAGGTTGGTGCCTACCTGGTGGGTAACTGAATGTCAGACTCAGCAAATCAAAGGCTTTGGATAACGGACATATACTCCATAAATTAGTAGTTTCGTGGAATGTTATACGAGTTAGTCCCTGAGAACGAGCCATCCTTAAACATGAAAACATATAAACTACAGTAATCTCCAATGTATTAGAAATCAATGTATTACAGATAATTGGTTTCAAGTACAGAAGATCATATTAGATTACTGTTTATTGCAATTATGTAAAAAAGAAGGCTCCTTCTTTACAGAATAACCTTGGTCTAATTTTTTTTTTCCAAGTGAACAAATCTCAAACTTAAGTTCTTTCAGTTGTGACACTGTTTCAAAACTGCTCTTCTAGACAGGGTGTTTGGGCAGGACTGTGGAACATGGGTTAGCCAGAAAGACATCAGAGGCAAGGAGACTAGGCTCGAGCCACAGCCCAGTGAGAGAGGAGGCAGCTTGATTTTGGGCAGTGACTATGGATACGGAGAAGAGGGAATGGATTCAAGACAGACTGATGGTTCTTGATGACCATGCGGATGTGGAGGGTGAGATGGCACGAAGAGCCTATGACGACTCCCCGATTTCTATCCTGAGCTATTTACCTACAACTATTCATTCATTTCTTAGAGAATGAAATCCTATTTATTATACTCTTTATGTGAGAGTTGGTCCAAGTGAAAGTTAATAAGATCAAAATCAACCTAAGACTAGTATAAGAGTATCAAGCAGAAGACAGACTCAGAGACCAAACCAAAAACTAGAGGGATGGTCTCAATATAGGGGGATAAGAGGACTTGAGGCCATGAATACTCCTTGTCTGGTAACTGTTTTCCAATCAAATCATTTTAACCTCAAATGAATGCTTACATTATTCAATTGTGTGGCCCCAAAATAGTAATTTTTTCAAAGGTAAAAAGTGATTTCCCAAAATGTTACCACTCAATGTGTTGTTGATGTCAGTTGCCGCTGAGTCGATTCTAACTCATGGAGACCCCATGTGTGCACAGTAGAGCTATGCTCCATAGTTTTCAAGGCTTTCAGAAGCAGATTGCCAGGCCTGTTTGCCAAGGTGCCTCTGGGTGGGTTCAAACTGCCAACCTTTCGGCTAGTAGTCAGGCACTTAACTGCTTGTGCCACTCAAGAACTCCCAACACTCAATGGGCAACACTTACATCAATTAATTTAGTTACAGGCTGAAATGGATTAACACAAAGAATCACAGGAAACAGATTCACTTTCTTTCCATCTCTTTAATAAGACCCTGACTATTTAATTCAACAAATATTTTATTCATTTAGCAAATATTTATTGAGCACCTACTATAGGCCAGGCACTGTTTAAGGCAGTGGAAATACTGCAGTCGGGGGTAGGAAATACATATATATGAGATACCTGCTCTCTTGGAGTTCACATTTCACTAAGTGGAGACAGACAATAACTAAATATTCACATTATGAGGTTAATGGCTCCCTGGTGCTTCTGAGATGAGGTCTAAAGGCTCAGGTGATAGGAATAATCTGAGGAATCTATAGGAATCTAAAACCCTCTAAAATCTGGCTCCTACTCACCACTCCAACCTTATTGCCATGTTCCTATACTGACCTCACTCACTAAATTAGGAGAACTCACTGTTCTAAACATGGTCCTACATTTTCTCAATTCCCTACCATCCCCTCCACAGGGAAACTGTCCCCTAGCCACCCACAAATGCTACTGATCCTGCAAGGCCCCATTCAAGAGCCACTGCTTTCTACAAGCAAACACCTCCCAATCAAAAGTGAGTGACCTCTCTTCCTTCTGTAGACCTCCTATGAACTCCTCAAGCATAAACAACTCTTAGGATACTAACTACACTGTGCTGTGTATGAAAATACCTCCCCACATTTGACTAAATGTTTTCACATTCAGGGCTGGCTTCATGGGTGTGTGACCTGTGCCATGCTTGCTCTGATGCTCTGGTGTCACCATCTTGATATCTTAATAAATTTTGAGCAAGGCGCCCTGCATTTTCACTTTGTACTGGGCCCTATAAATTATGTAGCTGGTCCTATTTATGTTAAATATCTCATTTGAACCTCAGTCAAAAACATTATGTAAAGCAAGCGGAGAAGATACTTTAATCCTCATTTTTTTAACACTTTAACTTCCATAAATTCTACGTACAGGCTGCTAAACAAGGATTAACGATCCTTCTCTTGGGATTATAAATATAAACCAAGTCAGAAAACTGACTACTTCTTTGTAGCATTACTTTGTGCTAAAATAATCTGAGAGGACCTATGGACAACAAGAGAAATACTAAAATATAAAAACACTCTATACCCAGAAAACCTTGTTACCTGCAACAAATCCAATGACCAGATCCTTTCCAGTAGTAGAACGTTGACCTTTGACCCAGACTGCTTTGAGGCTATTAAAAGTGTAGAAGTAGACAAAATTGGAGCAGCAGAGACTGGAGATAACTGGAAACCACCCTCGATATGGGGCCAAGCTGGGGGAAAAACACAACAAGCAAAGTAAAGGTCATGGATGAAAGCTAATAGAAACGGGCAGAGAAAGTCTTAGGAAAGTCACCACTCACATATTCTCAAGGTTCACTCCTACACTACAGTGGACCCCAAACTGTAAACACACCTTACATTCTGAAGGATGTCCAAATCAAGAAATTTTTTCTAGCATTAAGGATACCAAAGAAACAATACAAATTCAATAAGTGACTTACTGTTTGCCCCCAACTTCCTTTAGTAAAATTGGACATAATTTTCCCATGGCTCTTAGTCAATATAACATCATTCACATTTTATTACACAGTAAGAATACGTAAAATGAAGTAAATATAGAAAATAAGCGCAAAAAAAAAAAAAAAAAAATGATGGGGACATGTCATAAGGGCACAGGAACCAGACTGAAAGGGCTCCCACTGGCCAAACCTGGCACAATTTTTGTACCAAAATCATTAATCACAGTAATCAATTGTGAACTACTGAAAAGACAGCAATTTCTGAGTCCATACCAATAATAAATAGATAAATAAATAAATCTTGCTTATGATGCAATGCCAAGACTGGTCAATGTAGAGGGAATGCTAGAGCGGGAAATCATCATTTTGAAAGTTCATGGTAAATTTAGGAGGAAATTTTGATAAGGAGTAGGATATCTGCATTGTCTTAAAGTATCTCCCCTGAGACTGCTTACAGTTGCAAGGGAGAAAAAAAACATAGTTATATAGTGGTTAAATCAAGATTCTAAGAAATAATAAATAACCAGTGAAGGGCAGGTCGACAATATGTGACTCCAGATGTGATACCGAGAAGAATACAATGTCGCTATCATTATTCTGGCCAAGAATATGCATAACCTCAATCTAATCATGAAGAAACAGGAGCAAACTTAAAATGAGGAACATTCTATTAAAAAATGGGGGGGGGGTCTTAAAAAATGTCAGTGTCATAGGGGTAAAGGGCTTTGATGTACGCAATTTACCCTCAAATAGTTCAGAAAAAAAATGTGTGCGAGTGTGTGTATAACAGTGAGAGGCAGAAGAAAGTAGGAGAAGAGTATAAATGGGAAAAAAATGTTCACAGGTGAATCTGGGTAAAGGGTATACTGGTATACTTTGTACTAATTTTATTTTGCAACTTTTTATAAATTCTAAATTATTTTAAATGAAAAAGTTGACGACAACAAAAAAGTACACAATCTGTCTGGATATACTTGATAAGAACAAACTAAACAACTATCGTCTTCTTCCTTCTTCGGTTTCCTGTACCTAAAACAAAGCATTGGTTTAAAGAAAGACTTTACAATCAAGAATCAAAATGTCCAATCATTGATAGTTAAAGGAATTGGAAACAATTACATACTTACAAGTTAGGCAATTAGAAACTATACAACAAATACTATAAGACTATGAGAATGGATAGAAAGTGAGTGCAGAGGTACTGTAAGCACAAGAATCTCCTAAAAAGCTGCTTCACATAACAAAGATGAAATCAGGCAGTACTCACAGGCCTTCTTCTTTAATGATCTCCAGCAGCACCATGTGTGTAGTTTTGGACTTTCTTTTCTCATCAACTACAAGAGCAAAAAGTATACATTTAAACTAGATCGTTTGAGAATTATTACCTTTAGCATCAGCAAGTTTCACTGAGATGCTATTTACCTCCCCTAATCTTTGAACCCCCTAGTTTGCCTTAGAACTGAATGTGCCCTCTGTAAAGCCACACACTACCTTCTCAACTAGATTTCTTGGGTTTCATCTGCTATTCATGAACCATAAAGCATTTTAATTCAATACCTAATTTCCAAAGATATGACAGGAGAAATGTATTTCTTGTATTTCATAAGGCTCTTTTTTTTTTTTCCTCAAAGCAATACATATATATTCTCATTTTTAACACCTTACAAAGTAGGGAGGAAAGAATGACTATCTTCCTTTTATAGAAGAGGCTACAGACACAAGAGCTGTAAAGGCTCCATGCTGCTGGCAGCAAAGCCAGGATTACAATTCAAGTTTCCTAAATTTTAGCTTTGTGGTCTGTCTCCTAAGCTAAGAAATAAAAAGTCTCAAAAGGACGAGAACTCAGGCTTTTCCTGGCACTCACACTAAAAACAAAACCCACCCCAATTAGCTTCAAATTTCCTACCTACAATTGAAAAACACTTTGAGACCATAAAAATGTGGAAATAAACCAATCTCCTAAGAACTAAAATTACTACCAGTATTGCTGGTATACTATGGACTGACAAAAGAACAAACAAATCTGTCTTGGAAGAAATACAGCCAGAATGCTCTTTAGAAGCGAGGATGGAGAGACTTCATCTCACGTACTTTGGACATGTTATCAGGAGGGATCAGTCCCTGGAGAAGGACATCGTGCTTGGTAAAGTAGAGGGTCAGCAAAAAAAAGAGGAAGACCCTCAAAGAGATGGATTGACACAGGGGCTGCAACAATAGGCTCAAGCACAACAATGACTGTGAAGATGGCGAAGGACCAAGCAGTGTTTTGTTCTGTTATATATAGGGTTGAGATGAGTCGGAATCAACTCAATGGCACCTAACAACAACCAGTATTGCTTGTAGGAGGTAAATTAGTAAACTCTAACAGAAGGTAATCATTGGTATCAAAATTACAAATACATTCACCCTTTGATCCAGCAATCCCACTATGGGGAATTCATCCCATAGAACTTACAGAAACAAAGTGATATAGGAAGAAGGCTATTCTTACATCATTGTTTCTAACAGCTAAAGAATGGAAACGACCCAAGAACCTACAAGCAGGTTATGGTGCATCTATACCAGTATGAAGCTCTAAGAACCAAGACACTTCCAATGCGCCAGCTGAGAAGGCATCTGAACATACTAACAGAAAGTATAATGTACAGAACAATGTAAAGTATGCTTTTTGTGTAAGAAAGAAAACTAAGAATATATATTCTTATTTGCATGTAATTCCATAAAGAAACTAATAATAGCATTACCTGCAGGTAAGAGGAGGGGGGAAGGGGCACAGGAGAGTGAGACTTTTCACTGAACCTTGGTATATATTTTGTTTTTGAATCATGTTTAAAGTATTACCTATCCAAAAAGTTAAAATTAATTTAAAATAGTAGACATGAGGGTTTTAACATAGGAATTAATTTATTCAGAGCTAACCTTACCCTTATGTCTTCATGTAAGCTTTGATACAGGTTTATAATTTCAAGTTGAAAAATACTTAGAAAAAAACAAACAAGAATTACAGAGAGTTGCACAGTCCTACAAAGCTAAAGAGGCAAATTAGGACTCATGCCTGGATTAGCAATCAGACATTGAATATGGTCCAGATTAGCAATAACAGTGGGTATCCGGCTCCACTGTTTCATACTCAGATACACAATGGTCAGAATCAAATCCATGGCAATAGGGAAGATGCTTCCGACAGAGTCCCTGGGTGGTGTAAACAGTTAACAGGCTTGGCTTCTAACCAAATGGTTGGAGGTTCAAGTTCACCCAGAGGAACCTCAGAAGAAAGGCCTGGTGATCTACTTCTGAAAAATCAGCCATTGAAAACCCTATGGAGCACAGTTCTACTCTAACACACAGAGTCACCATGAATCGGAATCAAATCAATGGCAACTGTTTTTTTTTTTAACGTTTCCTATTCTCCCTTCTCTTCTGAGAACCTTCTCTCAACCAAAAACAAAACAAAACAAAAACTGCCTCTCCACTTTGTGCCTAAAAATAAATCACACAGCTTAGTAGAAATAATTGTAAGGATTCAAAATTATTAATGCAAGCTCACTCAGGTTCTCTCAGATTAGAAAATGGCTGAGGCCACGACTCATCCACGAATGACTCTCTGGTAATCAGGAAACAGCAATGACGACTAATGTTAAAGTCAGTGAAAACAGGCAATAGTGAGTCTCTAAAGAAATAGAATATCCTTACATTAATTCAGAATTTAATAGAAAACATGTTTGCTTCCTGACACCAAGTGAATGGGATTATGATTAATACAAAAGATACTCACCCTGAAGTCGAAGTCTAGCTGTGTCCAAAGGAAAAAATACTGTCATTGCTGTCACACTTCCCTGAAAAGTTTAAAAAGCCGTTAGCCATTATAATACCTGACAAATAATGAGTCACACTTTTAAATGAATAAAAGTGCAATATTAACAATGTGTCAAATCAGATTTTCAGTGAACAAATACATCCAATGTTTTAATCTACTAGGATTACTATTGTTCAAATGTTATGTACCTAAACAGAAGCATTTAATTTCCAAGAAAAAACATTTCTTCTCGCTCTGATTTTGAAAAAGAAAACGTAGAACACTGGAAATGACAAACTTAGGGGTTGGCAACCTATCACACATGTCAAAGATAGCAGATATGTGGATTTTCATCTTTTACAAGTCAGGTGCTGCTAACATGCCTACTCAGAAATCAAAATATCCATTAACTAGAAACAAATTGCTATTCCCTGTGCTTAATCAATATATTTACTCCAAAATGAAAGGGCACTGTAATAATTATATTGTTTAAAGTAGATTTGCCTTTTTAATAAAATAGGGACAATCTCTTTGCTAAAAATTCTATAAAAATTTCATCCAAGGTAACACAGTGACAAACAAAAACTATTCGGGGGTGGGAGGTGGGGGAGGGGAAGCAAACAACCAGTCTTTGCATTCATAAGACCTATGACAGATAATAACCACAAACATATATTCAGGGATGAAATTACAAGCCCGAGACCTCCAGTTGGGTTTATGGTTCTCAACACAGATGCAGGCCCACAAGCCCGCAGCCCATGCAAACTGTGGTTTGTATCTGGAGCCAGATCTGTGTGCATGGGTGAGCCAGGATCTTGGCGCATGTCCTTATCTGACCCTGGACCTAAGCATCGCTGTAGGGGAAGATATTCTCCAATACACAGCACCAACTGAGCCCCTTCGCAAAGGGAGAAATCCCACAACGCCAACTTCCTATGAAAAGTGACTCAGCATGACTCAGCACCCAGATCTCCAAATTCGGGCATGGGAGGGCTCAGGGTGTAGGATTTCAGGGACCCATCCAGCCTCCTGGGGACTCCAGGACATAAAAGTTCCCTGATTCTCTGGGGTGGGGAGCCTGTGGTCTTTCGGCAGCTAGGCCCCATGTTGCTCCTTGTCAGCACAGACAATAAATTGCCACTTTCTGTGTCCCTTGCAATTGACATCTGTCTTATTTTGATCGGCCAATAGGACAGGACAAGAACCCGAGGAATTCGGTTACAATCTCATAATGGTTACAGACAATATTTTAATCATGGTAACAGCTGGGAACTAGATCAATTTTAAAGATACATACAAAAATTTGCCAGGCCTCTTACAACTTAAATAGATCAGCCTGCTTGACAAGGGAGAACAGTGTATTATACTATTAGTATTCTTCAAAACACAGATTGTTACCTCCCCCATCCATCAGTTTGCAATTGTTTGTCCATTCCTCTATGTTACCACTGCACTTGTTTCTCTCTCTTATAGCACTGTGGCGAAATGAGTTCCTTTATGTGGCCTTTTGCCTTGGTTCTTCGGAAAAACAGCTTGAGAGATTTTCCCCTAAACCCTGAAGAGTTATCTTTGCCTTAGTTTTCTACCCTAGAGGGTTTATTATTTTTGTCCAGGTTGATTGACATTTCTTGGGTAAAACGTAAACAACTTGATGGCTTGATATTTCTTGTCTGGCCCTGGGCTGCAGCCTGCCCTGTGATTCATCTATTTTATGCACCTTGCAGGGATTGGTCAATATACTATAGACTATGCAAATGAAGTGACTTAGACTATGCAAATGAAGTGACTATAGACTATGCAAATGAAGTGACAATGGTCCAACAAGGGGACTGGTCAGTTTGTGGCCCTGCTGGGAGGGCCATGCCTTGAAAATGACAGGAACTTAGCTTATATATGCAGCCAACTCCCCAGAGGTTTCAGGAAGAAGGGAAAAGGAGAAAAGGCAAGAGAGACAAGAAGAGAGAGAGAGACAGGTGAGGAACCTCCTAAAAGGGCTGTTAACATGGGTCAAGTGCTGTAACAATGAAGACAGCGAGAGGCCTGGAAAGGGCCCTGCAGCAGAGCCAGCAGTTACGGCAGAAACCCGTTGCTAGGAATGCAGCTAAAAGAACTTAACAAAGCTGCTACACTGGCTATGAGCCGGGTCATTTAGCAGTAGAGAGGGTGACAGCAGGGATGCCGAAGGCAGAGAGGCCTACATGGCTGAGAGGGGATATGCATAGTCAAAAGAAGGTCTGTCCTGAGGGGGCTGAAAGGAGACCTACATGGCTGAGAGGGTGTGTGCACGGTCAAGAGGAGGCCTGTCCTGAGGGGGCTGACAGGAGGCCTGCATGGCTGTGAGGGGGCATGCATGGCAGAGACAAGGGCCTGCTTGCTTGCAGGGCCGAGAAGAGCTGAGATTCTCCTGCACTGGAGAGATGTGCTCTCCACTTCAGGGGAGCCTTCCAGACTCTGCCTCCATACTTCCTGATCCTCAGTTGTAGCTTGTTCATCCTGATTCTGAGTTGCAGCCTGTTGATCCTGATCCTGAGTTGTACCGTTACTTCCTTAATAAACCACTTAACTGTAAGTATGGTCTGTGAGTTCTGTATGGACACTGCAATGGATTATCAAACCCAGAAGAGAAGTAGAGAGTGCCGTGGGAGGACAGCTGGTGTCAGAATTGATAAAAAGGTTGGACAGTGGAGGTATGTCTGACCTCCACCTCATAGGAATCAGCCTTGGCCTGATCCTGGTTCTTATCCCTAAGGCATCTAGACAAGTTCTGACACTACTACTACTGCTAAACAAGCACTTGTATTACAGTGAAATCTAACTTCCACTAGATTATGAGAATATTCATTCTGTATCTTTGCACATCATAGATTGTCAATTAAACGTTTATTAAATTCATTCTACCATCATTTATGCTCTGTTGATGACTCCTACATAAATGTTCTTTTCTAATAAGGACTGGAAGATATTCAATGTCTCAAGGAACACCAGACCTACAAAGCTTTACAGTCTAGAAATCCACGCTTCCAGCATCCTTGCTCATTCTTCAGGCATTTTCCAAGAAAAATGTGGGCAGGAAAGCTGAAGAAAGCTTATTATGTCTTGGCATTCACTGACCATCGCATGGTACAACATGTCTATGTGTGGTTTTGCAGCAAAGTCCAAACTACCCATTGCCGTCAAGTCAATTCTGACTCACAGTGACCCTACAGGATAGAGTAGAACTGCCCCATAGAGTTTCCAAGGGGCGCCTGGTGGTCCTATCTAGAAACTACTTTTTCCAACAACTGGGCCACCCTCATCCCTCTGCCCTGACAGTTTTAAATAACACCTGAAGGTTCCTAACTTAGAAGCGCCTGCCCAATCTACCTCGAAATTAAAAAAGTGAAGCACATCTTATACCAAGATAAACAGAAAACAGTCAACCCAAAGAGCCCATTGGTTCTCTTACTTCCTCAGGACCAAATTCAAAACTGCAAAATCAGTAAAACTAAATAACAGTTCTAAAATTTTATTAGAACTGGAAAGACTGGATGAAGATGGTTTAAAGACAAGTTTAAATGTGAGGATTAAATATTTAAGGGTGGAAGGCAGGCTTCCATTCCATCAGTATGGTGGACTAGACAACTTGCAACAAAATAGTTACGCGCTACATACAATCCATTTGGGCAATGTCTGACAGCATATACATTCATGGTCCCATGAGGTTTTTTTTCTTTTTTTACATGGAAATCAGCTCTCCTTTTATTTATTAATCCCCTAATGGTTTCAAAAGACCCTAATCCCACTGAAGCACTGATAGGCACAGTGCAGGTGGGGATGGTACAGCTCTAGCTGGGCTGGTAGTTCCTGCCAGCAGATGAGGACATGGCTCTAGGCGCCAGCTCTTGGGCTTTGTCTGGCGGCAGGCGGGTGGTGGCTTCAGGCCCTGGCTGCTCCTGCTTCTCAGGTAAGCGGAACAGTGGGCGGGCCGGGGCACACTCTGCATCCTCCTCGCTCAAATCCTCTCACTCCACTCCCAAGATGGCTCTCTCAGCCACTGCCGCCCCGTAGCAGCTCCAGCAGCAGCAACAGTGTCAGTAGCTGCGACAACAGGACGACAGGAAGTGGACTCCCATAGGATTTTAATATAATAGGCTTTACGAGTGTTGTTGTAACCCAGGGACTGCCTGTACATAATATGGTGTTTGCACAACGTCCAATCACATAAAGTTCAATTTCACAGACGTATAGTGGAGTTAAGTGACTGTACCTAGAAATACTGATAAAATCTACAAGCCCCCTTTAAATGCTTAGCTAAGCTCATGAGAAAGTATGGGAAATCCACTGGGGCCAGAAAGGGTCGAAACCCAAAAGGTTAAGCACGCTCTTCTGCTTTGGTTACCTGAGGACTTCTTTCCCAGTCTACGTGATCAAAGGGCTTTTAAAATGTTCCTTTTGTTAATTCTAATGAGGTATAACATGCATACAAGAAAGTGCACAAATCAATTAATTCCACAAAGTGCACACACCTGTAGAACTAGCACTCAGATCAAACACAGACTACTTGAATCCCAGAAACCCCCTTCTACCTCCTTCCAGTCACCAAGCCCTTCCCAAAGTCACCTGACTTCTATAAATGTTTGCCTCTTTTGAACTTTATATAAATGGTCTCTATGAACACAGACAGACAGAGTGTGGCTTCTTTCTCTCAAAATTATACATATATTTTTTAATTTTTATTGTACTTTAGATGAAGGTTTACAAAACAAATAGTTTCTCATTAAACAGTCAGTACACATATTGTTTTATGACATTGGTTAACAACCCCACGACATGTCAACACTCTCCCT